TGGGGGGTTACCTCGCTCCGTGGGGGTGACCTGGCCCTGTGGGGGGTGACCTGGCTTCGTGGGGGGTTACCTCGCTCCGTGGGGGTGACCTGGCCTCGTGGAGGTTTTTTAGGAAAGTCTTCTAGTTAGTAGATACTGACGAAAATTACAATGTTATTTACTTAGACTTTAGCAAAGCGTTTGACAGAGTACCGCATCAGAGGCTTCTGAGAAAAGTTAAGGCTCATGGTATCGAGAGGAAAGATTTAAATTGGATAAAATCATGGCTCACCGATAAAACACAGAGGGTCAGCGTAGATAGTGTTAAATCTGAGTGGGGCTGTGTAACCAGTGGGGTTCCCCAGGGGTCAGTACTGGGCCCACTCTTGTTCATAATCTACAGTTTCCTCCACTCTTATGTTCTTAGGTTCTTTTGTTCTTATCCTTGTTAGGGTCACCTAGCTTCGTGGGGTCATCTGATCTCGTGTGGGGTCACCTAGCCTCGATGGGTCACCTGGCATCGTGGGGGGTCACCTGACCTCGTGGGGGTAGCCTAGCCTCGTGGGGGTAACCTAGCCTCGTGGAGGTCACCTAGCCTCGTGGAGGTCACCTAGCCTCGCGGGATCACCTGGCCTCGTCGGATCACCTGGCCTCGTCGGATCACCTGGCCTCGTCGGATCACCTGGCCTCGTGGGTTCACCTGGCCTAGTGAGGGTCACTTGGCCTCACTGGGTCACCTGGCACCTACTGGGCAGGTAACAGGTAACATACAGGTAAGGTCCTGCACCACCACGCTGAATAAACATGAAGGAGCAGGTGTTAACTTTCGCATCTTGTTGTTTTACCTCCTCCTTTCTCCTCCTCTAGCTCCTCTTTCTCCTCCTCTAGCTCCTCTTTCTCCTCCTCTAGCTCCTCTTCCTCCTCCTCTAGCTCCTCTTCCTCCTCCTTCGACTATCATCTCTTCCTCCTTCTACCACCTCCCAATACTCTTCCTCCCTCCCTTGACTATTCATCATCACTTCCCTCTCCTTCTCCCATTTCATTCTTTCTCCCTTCCTCGCCAGTTATCCGTTTTCCTCACACCCTTCCCCATCAATGCCCATTCCTTCCCTATCTTCCTCACCCCCTTTCTATCTCCCTCATCCCCTCTCTACGCCCCAATTCCCACAATGGGGAAGATAACATCCCCAGGTAATCACTGTGACGACAGTTCCACCCCCCCTACCATCCTCCCAACTCCCCATAATTTACGGTAGAGGGGGGAAGGGTGGTAGATAGGGGGAGAGGGGGAGGTTGGTAGGTGGGGGGTAGGTTGGTAGGTGGGGTAGGAAGGAAGGAGAGGGGGGGGTAAGGAGCCGAGGAAGGGAGGTGAGGAGGGGAGAGGGGAGAGGGAAGGGAGGAAGGAAGAGGGGTAAGGGAGAAGGGAGGGAGGGAGGGAGGAAGAAAGGAAGGAAGGGAGGGAGGGAGGAGGAAGGAAGGTTGGGGAAGGGGAGAAAAGGGGAGGGAGATGAGGAGGCAGGGAGTGGAAGGAAGGGTAGAGGAAGAAGAGGATGGAAGGGAATGAGGAAGAGGAGGAAAGTGGAAGAGAGTGAAGGGAGGTAAGGATGGGAGGATGATGGGGGGAGGGGGGGGAAGGGGTCATCAGCCACTTTCCCTTGACCTCTAAGTTTGATCCCCACGTCACCAGCTGTTTAAAGGGGCACTTTATTTTGTGGCTCCATTAGCTGAGAGGTGAAGTGAAGGGGGGCCTCGTCCACATGTTCAATAACGCGACTATCATTGACTATTACTACTCCTATTAATACTATTTTTGCTACTACTTCTACTACTATTAGTGCTAATGCTAGTACTATTATCACCACTATTGTTACTATTATTACTACCGCAATTACTACTACTACTACTACTCGGTAAGGTTAACTCTCTCTCTCTCTCTCTCTCTCTCAATAAATCTGTCGAATGTTTTTTGGTTTTTTTAACACAAAACATCCACCGCCAGTTTGGTTAAGAGTCGCCATTAGTGAACCTTTACCTGTGGCAACACCTGAAGTAGGAACCTGTATTTAAACCTTAGTGGGAAGATGGTTTAAGATGGTATGGTTAGGTTAGGTTAGGTTAGGGTAGGTTTAACCCTCTGAGGATGTTGGCTTAACCCTTTGAGGACGATGTTATAATTACAGATTTAGTTACAAAATACATAATTACACACAAGCTACAGGTACAGTAATGGCCCAGGTGGATACAGCATCATACAGGTGGTGTCTTAGCTAAATAGAACCGTAACTCATTATCCCTAAAAGAGTTACAGGTTAGTAAAGGTAACTCACAGCCACTCATGTTGAGGTGTTACTCCGGGTTTTATCAGTCAGAATCGAGTATGACGATCATCCAGCTATGATACAATGATATGAGTTATTAGGGATGTCACCTTCATTGGTGAGTTTTGAGGTGACAAAAGAGGCCGATACGGGACCTGCAGCGGCGTCCACATTTGTTGCACATGTGGAGGGCTACATCTACTGTGGGAGGGGCGGTGGCAGCGTCTTTCCAACTTTGGCGCTTGTCTGCCTCGGTTTGAAGTCAGGCTAAGTCGAAAGTATTGACACCTTCTCGTGTGGTGCTCCTCCAAGAGTTACAGTGTGGAGTAATCGACTCCCAGGTGAGGGGGTCGATTTGGCACCTGATCAGGTTTGTCTTAAGACTATCCTTATACCTTTTCAATTGCCCGCCGGCGTTAGCAAATACACACACACACTACAAATCACAGACATTAACCAAAATCACTACCACTCACAACAACCATTACTACCCCCTGTGTCTCCTACCAGCAACCACCATTCAACGTCACTATTAACCACTCACAACAACAATCCGTATCCCAATTGACGACTGACACGGCCCATTCATCCCTTTATTCTACTACTGTTTACAAACTCACCACAACTACTCATTCATGTAATGGGAGTTTAAGTGCGTCATTAATTTAGCCAATGAGAAATCACCGTGTCAGGCTGAGAGGCGTTTCGTGGGTTCTGATTGGTCAGGTCACGCGAAGGTTTGTGTTTACCTGAGTGTAGCGAGAGTTACCGAGGGAGCGGTAATATATTTTATAATTATCGGTGCTCTGGCAACTCTCAAGTCGATCTATCTATCTCTCCAAGAATATAAATAAGACGAAAAATAAAGATTGAAAAAATAAATGAAAACGAAAAAAAATAATAACGTAGAGAGAACAAAATAATAAATGCATAATAAAAACATGGCGTAAAATAACCAAGGAGAATAAAGATGGAAGTGAAGGATTAATAGATAAATAAAGAATTGGGAAAAAATATCCACAAGAAGATAAATTTAATTGGTTAGTTTTTCTTTGGTCAAGATGACGTCACCACACCTGGGCTTATGACGTCACCACACCTGGGTTAGTTTTTCTTTGGTCAAGATGACGTCATCTCACCTGGGCTTATGACGTCACCTAACATGGGCTTATGACGTCATCTCACCTGGGCACAAAATTAGCTGACAAACTCTGTCTGTCTGTCCCTTACTCCCCAAAAACAGGTCACAATACCCTCCCTTAACCCCCCGAGAGGTCATGACCCCTACGTGAGGTCAATACTCGTAACATCCATCATCCTCCCCCTCCCCCCTTGTGTCTAAATATTTATCTATTCTCGCTTGATTTATTTACAGGTAATGTACTGGTCACGACGCCACCACTGGGGAGAGGGTGTCTGTATGTGTGTGTATACAGTATATGTGTATGTGTGTACATATGTGTCTGTCTATTCTGTATGTGCATGTCTGTATGTCTGTCTGTGTGTATGTGTCTTTCTGTGTGTCTGTGTTGGTTTGGGGAGAAGGTGTCTGTCTGCCTTTCTGCCTGGGGGAGATAGTGTTTGTCTGGGGAGAGAGAGAGAGAGATTAAAGAGAGGCAGACAGACAGACAAACTCTCTCCCTCCGTCTCTCTCTCCCCCAGACGGACAGACAGACAGACAGACAGGTTATGTGGACCCAGAGTTACCCAAGACAAGAGAGAGACACTGGTAGTTTGGCTTGTGTCGCAACGTTGGTAACACTGCCTCTCTAACATGGACGAATGGCCTGTTGTTTTATCAGTGAAGGGGTACATGAGCTGTTCTGGTAACACTGGTTGTCTCTACTGATCTTCTCTGTGGTAGGATACGTTGTCAGTGTCACTTGGTAACACTGATTGGTCCTACTGACAGCACCACTTGGTAACACTGCTTGTCTCACTGACAGGTTACAAGGTCAACATTACCTGGTAACACTGACTCGTGGGAGGGTTCCTTTGTCTTATCTGGTATCACTCGTACCATTGATAGGGTACATTGTCAAACACCACTTGGTAACACTGCTGCATCTTGTTAAGGTACATTATCTATAACACTAAGTCTTGGGTTAATGTTAAATGTGGTGGGTAATTAGCACAAGTAATCACCCCAAGCTGGTAACAATCTTCAGGTAATAGAATTCGCCTTAACTTCAACTCCCAATACTGCACTCGACCGCCTTCACTTCCCCAACAGTAACGTAAGCTACCCATTTTCAGCTGCAGGGTTTACAGAGAGTGCCCCGGGGTCGAACCAACGACTCTTAGGATAGAAAGCAAGTGTTGTATTCACTCTACAAATTGAGTGTAAATAAGGGATATTATTATTGTTGATGTTTTATTATTATTCTTATTATTATTGAATCACAACTCAATAATAATGAAAATAATAATAATAATAATGATAAAGATAATAATAATAACTACAACAAATAATAACACATATGGCTTTCCTTTAGACATATTTTTTCCTGAAACCAAACATTCTAATTTATATCGGCAAATTAAAATCATTAACCAATCGCCAACTATCCCCCTCAACGTCTCGACACATACTGAATGACACTGGGCTCACCTGACTGGTATATATCGACTCCCTACACTCCCAAACATCCATCAGTTGCCAGTTCTTGTTTTACTGATGGTGGTTAATGAAAACAAAATAAATATAATCAAAAATTATTTATTGTACAATGAGAAAAGTTTATGTGAATGAGTAAACGCTTATCGTTGTGTACACATAATATGGCGCTATAGACAATGTACACAAGGTTTAGAAGAAAAAAAGTACACACAATATGGTAGTAGAAATAATGTACACACAGTAAGCAGCAACAGAAAGTACACACAATATGACACAAGAAACAATGTACACACAGTAAGTCACAAGAGGATGTACACACAATATGGCACAAGCTACAATGTACACACAGTAAGTCACAAGAGGATGTACACACAATATGGCACAAGCTACAATGTACACACAGTAAGTCACAAGAGGATGTACACACAATAGGGCACAAGCTACAATGTACACCAACACGCAAGGCGGTGATAATGGGCACCATCACAAGGGCCTCAACATAACAACACAAGACTAGCGTCACTCACACATAATAGTCTCTCCTCGTCACTCATACGCACATGTTCAGTCACTCATACACACATGTTCAGTCACTATTCTTCACTCATACACACATATTCAGTCACTCGTGTACGTGTCGCTGAACCTTGACTCACTGTAGAACATGACAGTGAACACATCCACTACTACTGGGGGGATGGATGAGGTCGTCTCTCTCTTGAGTGTCGCGTCGCTGTAACAAATGAGGATCACCTGAAGGTTGTAGGTACCGCAGGTTATTTCATGTGATGATTTAGCATCCTAACCTAACCTAACCCCTCCAGGTATTGTTAGGGTGTTTAACCATCACATGAAATAAGCTGCGGTAGCTATAATTTTCAGGTGATCCGAAGTGAGCAGAGCTACAGACTTACGAGGCTTAAGAGCTACACAACTTATACTTGATTATCAACAAAAGTTTCGTAGCATCAACACAGTGTTCGTTTCTTTATGTTAGAGAAATTATAAAAACTTGGAAATCTGGGAGTTTTTCAGAGTTTCAGTTTAAGCGTCGTATAACGTGTCGCCTGACTACAGGAAACCCTCAAAAGGGTCAGCCAACGCGGGGAAGTCGTGGAAGACGTGAAGACTCTCCTCCAACAACCTCGAGTCTTCGGAGAGGAGTTCCTCGAGATCGCTAGCAATGCCGAGTGACTCTCGACTCTTTGAGGGCATGGGTGAGGTCAAGGAGGTGAAGGAGGACGTGGAGGAACAACAGTCCAGGAGGCGAGGCATTTGTGTCACGCACTGCTGGGTGAAGTGGGTCATCTGTTCATGGTACTGGAAGGTCACCAAGCTGCCCTCTGGTAATAGAGTCTCCCTCAGGGGCATCTGCATGGAGTGTTGGAGGGAGTTCTGTAGTGAGTGTTGGAGGGAGGTTTCCAGAGTGCAAAGGTCCGCCACGTCACCGTCTTCCAGCACGTCAGACAGCGCCCTGATATAGTTGACAGCGAGGCGGAGTGTGGTGATCTTGGTCATGGAGGAGGAGGACGATGGCTGCACCTCCATGGCATCTGGTAGGATCTTCCGCAGTGACTCGAACGCATTATTTATCTGCTTCATGCGGTGACGCTCGCGGGCGTTGGCGGTCTTCCTGCGGTATTTGGATAATGGCGGCGGTCTCTGCTTGCACCTCGAGGGTCGTCTGGGAACCTCATGGCGGGTTCTCTCTTGTTGGAGTCGCTTGATAATGGTTCTGGGGCGTAGGGCGTACTTCTCCCCCTTCATGGGGACACTGATGGGGTGATCATGACGCTGCTGATGGAGCTGGCTCTCCGGGGTATCCATCATGCGATGTGTGGTGGTGTCTATCATGGTCCCAGACAGACACATCCAAACACCTCACTAGGTTATTATTCTTCGAGTCGTCGGGATAACAGAGGAGGATTCATGTACCTGGTTTGTTTACACATGAATTGCTGCCGACAACATCATTCTATAAACACGTCCCCTACACCTTTGTCCTTAATTACACAACATAATAAATGATGTTCTTAAACCACTCCAGCTGTGTTGATCCTCTACTCCAGCACTTCAGCACAATACGTGATAATGTCAACTAGATCATCAAAATCATCATCGTCATTCCTTCGGTCTTAACTTCTCGCAGTCCGCCCTCTGGGTCACACAAGTGTTGTTCTGGGAGGTCGTGTGTGTGTGAGTGATTCCTGTGTACACCAAATGGATAATGATGTGTACACCATGAGAGACGAAGTTGCCTCTCGCCTGTGTGTGAAGACGAGACTTAACAGGTGACCGAGCAGGACGAGGCCACAAACACGACTGGTGCCCAGATCACCTGTGCTCACCTACCCATCTCCCACACAATAGTTGCCAGATTACCAAGACGACAAAACACGAACCATAATACAGTACCTAATTGACGACCTGTAATCATCATATTCATCGATTCTCTACGGATAGAAGATAAATTAGAGGTAAACAAAACGAGATGAGCTTAAAATATAAATAACGGATTACTTAGAATGAAGAGAATTATGATTGATAGTAATTTGTGGTAATATTAGCGATATGGTAACTCGACTGAACGTTTGGTCGGAGGTCAGTAAAGTGTTTCGGAGTCCGGACAACTCAGTCATGGCTATGTTGTGATGGAGAAGTGATCGGTGTATGTGTGTGTGTGTTCATAGTTATGATAAGAATTACAATGTTATTATTATCGTCGTCAATATTACCACCATTAATTATATTTTCTTATTGGTAAGTAATTTTCGCCACTATACTGAAAAAAAAACGATTTTTGCCGATTCAGAACAATGCTCTCTCTCTCTTTCTCTCTCTCTAACTATGTATTGGTTGTCTGTCTGAGTCATTCCCTTTCTCTTTATCTTCTTATTCATCAATCCATACATTCATGTGTGTGTGTTTATGTGTTTCTCTCGCTCTTTATCTACCAATCAATCTCTCTCTCCCAACTGAATCGAACCCTGGCAACCTTGAAAGGCACTGTAAGGTCTGTCTTATTCCTACGTTATATAATTAAGCCCAAAAGAGCTAGACTCACCAGGAGACAAGCGACCATCACAACATAAGACGACAACATGTTCTTAATATAAAGAATATTACGGAAAACTGAGTAGGAAAGGAGAACAACAGTAGAAGAAATGAGAGGAAACGAAACATGGAGAAGAAATGAAAAAAAAATATAAAAAGAGATGCCTGAATGAGGTTCCTGACATAACCTATTATTATTTTACTGTTCCCAAGTTTCGCGACAACTGCAGCTCCACCCAGAAATAGGTAGACTCCACAAGCTTTATATTTGTGTAAACTAATCACCATGATAGAGGTAAAGGCTTAGCTAGGTTTTAATATAATGTTTCTGGATTTATTTGATAAGGACTGCGGTAACATCATGTGGATGGTATGCGGAGTCTGCTCTTTGGCTGCGTCTTAATTCAGCTCTCTGCCCCACACTCACACGTCCACCAATCACCTGGTGTCCACTGAGTTATTCTGCGTGAGCTGCGAGTTCAGTCCACACCGCGCCATCCCACGTTTAAGAGTTGCATTTGCTCAGCAGCTACTGTACAAGGTCTGTTTAATAGTGATCTTCGAATAAGTTAACATGTGTACACTGTGACAGATAATCGTGTCCAAATAGGCACATTAAATACACAGAAACACGTAATCATGCACACACACGCACTAAACGATACAGGCTGCAATACTAGAGTACAGTACTGCTAGCATGATAACCAGGGAGGAAATATTATTGCCAGTGTGTTGAAGAGCGTGTGACAGAGTTGGTTAAGTTAGGAATTCATAAAAACGCGATTATCGTAGAGGTCTGATAAAAATCTGGTTTATCAGTACATCACGCCTTGGTAACTCTAGCGTATTGCCAGATACCCAAAGAATGTTCTATATTACTGAGGGTATATACAAACACTTGTTGTCTTTAAAAGTAGGTTCTATTCTCGTACGGGAGATGATACAGTCGGACACGGGAAGCCTGTGGGCACACCACCAGAACTCAGTCTTAACTACGTCTACATCTATCCATGTATTACTACGCGCTGGCCTATACAGATGCCAGCATTCACAAGCTGAATACATAAAGTATAAATGTGATAATTTATATACATAATATGGTGCACAATAAATGGAATATTACATAGAATTAATACATGTTCTGTAATACTTTACTATACATAATTAATAAGAGTAATATAACAATATACAGCTGAAGGCACTACTTTGTGTCCATATATATCATACAGTAACAAAACCTGTTCTCGGTGGTGGGGACTTTATCAGACGTCCAGTGTTAAAGTTAATTCGCTTGAACATCTCAAGTTTCTTGAGTGTACAGTATTCTGGATTAGGGATCACCTGAAGATTAACCTCCTGGATCTTTAATCATACTACTGAAGGAAAGAGCAGTGGGTCTATTTGCACGAATTAGGTAGCCCCGTTTACACCCAACCCCTGTAATTCATATACCTGTCTAACCTAAAATTGAAGGTACCCAGCGTGTTCGAGTTAATGGTGTTGCTCGGTAACTTCTTCCACTCATCCACAACTCTATTTCACCATTGTTACATAAGAACGTAAGAACATAAGAATGGAGGAAACTGCAGCGAGCCTATTGGCCCATACTTTGCATTCCCATTTACACCCAACCCCTATTGCTCATATAGGCATCCAACCTATGTTTGAAGCAATCCAGCGTATTCGAGTTAATGATAATATTTGGTGACTTGTTCCACTTGTCCACTACTCTATTTCCAAACCAATGTTTACCTATTTCGCGCCTAAATCTAAATTTCTCTAATTTAAAACCAATGTTACGAGTTCGCTCCTGGTTGGATAGTTCGAGTACCTTTGTAATGTCTCCTTTGTTCAGCCTTGACTTCCATATATACACCTCTATCATGTCGCCCCTCTCTCTACGTCTCTCGAGGGAGTGCAAATTAAGATGCTTTAACCTGTCTCTGGACTCAAGGTTCCTAATGCCCGGGATTAGTCTTGTCATTCTCCTCTGAATTCTTTCCAAGGATTCTATATCCATTCTGTAATACGGTGACCAGAATTGAACTGCATAATCCAAGTGAGGTCTCACAAGCGCAAGATATAGTTTTAGTATGACCTCGCTAGTCTTGTAACTAACACTCCTTTGTATGAACCCAAGTACTTTATCAGCCTTGTTTCGGGCAAATATACATTGTTTACTTGGCTTAAGATTCCTACTTATCATTACTCCTAAATCTTTCTCGCAGTCTGATTTCTCAATAACATCGTTGTTCATGTGGTATCTGGTTTCCCTGTTTACATCTCCTATACTGAGTACTTTGCATTTGCCACATTGAATTTCATCTGCCATTTTTCAGACCATTCGAAAAATTTGTTTAGATCTTCCTGTAGTTTTGCGGAATCCTCTTCAGATTTAATTACACGCCCTATTTTAGTGTCATCAACAAATATACTTATGTCGCTGTCTACGCCGATATCTATGTCGTTTATGTATGTAATAAATAATAATGGTCCAAGTACTGAGCCTCAGGGAACTCCACTAGTGACGTTGCTCCAATGGGATTTAGTGCCGTTAATGCTCACTCGCTTCTTGTCCTGTAACCACGCCCTAATCCATTTTAGAATATCTCCTTTAATGCCATGAGTCTCCACTTTTCTTATTAGTCTTTCGTGGTGGACTCTATCGAAGGCTTTGCTAAAGTCGAGATATACCACATCATAATTGTGTCCCTCGTCCACTGATTCGAAAACAGATGAAAAGAATGTTAATAGATTAGTTGGACATGAACGCCCGCTTGTGAAGCCATGTTGGGAATCATTGATCAACTTGAGTTTCTCCAGGTGATTTCGAATAGAGTTTGAAATGATTGCTTCCAGTAATTTGCTTACAATTGATGTTAGACTGATAGGACGGTAGTTAGAGGATAGTGATCTATCCCCTTTCTTGAAAATCGGTATTACATTCGCTATCCTCCAGGATTCTGGTGCTACACCCGTTTTTAGGGACATGTTAAACAACTTTGCTAAGGGCATACTAAGCTCTTCCTTACATTCCTTTAATACTCCGGTAAATATCTCATCGAGACCTGGTGACTTATTAGGCTTTAGTTTGTCTATTTGCTTACAAACATCGTTACTAGTCACTAATATCTCGCTTAATTTATTTTCTTCACTATCTCTGTATATAGTCGGTGCCTCGGGTATCATGTTTAAATTTTCGGTGGTGAAAACTGTTGAAAAATATTTATTCAGATTATTGCTCATTTCTACGTCGTTATCAATTAGGTCGTCGGTATCTGACTGTATTGGTCCAATCTTTTCTCGTGTTTTAGTTTGATACATTAGATAGAATCCCTTGGGGTTTGACTTCGCCTCCCTTGTTACCTTCAGTTCATTATTCCTCTTTGTTTTTCTTATCTCGGTCTTAACCCTACCGGCCAATACCTTATAATAATCTCGGAGTTAACTTCACCACGATTTATTCTCCTACCTATAGCCTTCCTTTATCCAATAATATTCTTTAAATAATTATTTATCCATTTAGGGTCATTGTTGTTTGATCTGAGTTTTCTGTATGATATGTCCTGCCTTTGTACTTTAAGTAACTCATTATTTAAGTTGTTGTGGAACTCGTCAACCTCAGATCTCGTTATCAGGTCATCCTCAACTGTCAGGTCTCCAGGTAAGGTGAGGTCGCCCTCTGTGGGTACATTGTGTGAGGTCACCTCATGTGAGGTCATGTAAATCACCCCCAACGTGATACCCCTTCTATCAGCTGCCTCTTCAAACTATCAAAGTTTGCCTTTCTGAAACCTGGGACCTTAGTGGAATTTTCCTTGCGGCTGCCCTGAAATTCTAATTTGAATCTTATTTCTTTGGGATCGCTGTTTGCAAGCTCGTTACCTACCTCAACATTACTAATGAAGTTTTCTCTGTTTGCCAGAACTAAATCGAGTATATTATTACCCCGGGTGGGTTTTAAGAAAATCCTCTGATTCTGAGTTACCTGTAAGGTCAATCCAATCTATTTGACTAAAGTTAAAGTCGTGTATTATACAGACTTTGCGCATTTCATCCCAAATTAGTTGCTCATTAACTCTTATCAAGATTAGGAGGTCTATATATTACTCCTGTGATTAATTTTTCCCTACCATTGATTAATTCTATCCAAATTGTTTCTGCATTCGGCTCAGTTTTTATTTCCTTATTCATTTCACACTTCAGATTATCCCTGACATAGATTGCTACTCCACCTCCTTTCCTAATCTGCCTATGGGTATGGAATAAATTGTAATCTGCAATTTGCTATTATATCGATTTTTTCGGTACATGCCAACGCCCTGATTTCATTCATTTTGTTTCTCATACTTCTACTGTTTGCTCCGGGTTATATAGTTTAAGTGTCTTAGTTATATAATCCTCATTTAACCTCGTCTTCCATTTATACATTTGGGTCATATCGCCACTCAGCTTCAGTTTTCTTAACCTGTCTCTCCAGTCAAGGTTCCTAATGCCTGGGATTCAATATGTCATCCTTCTCTAAATGTTTTCCAGTGAATCGATATCAATTTTATAGTACGGTGACCAAAACTGAACTGCACAATTCAAGTGAAGTGTCACCTACACGAGATATAGTTTAAGGATGCTTAAATTTTTCGTAATCCAAGATTAGTAATTACACTAGCTATCAACAAATATGTTCTCTAGTCGACAGTGTTGGGAGGATCACGTGCTCAAGTGTTGGGAGGATCACGTGGTCAAGTGTCGGGAGGATCACGTGGTCAACTGTCGGGAGGATCACGTGGTCAAGTGTCGGGAGGATCACGTGGTCAAGTGTCAGGAGGATCATGTGGTCAAGTGTTGGCAGGATCTCGTGATCAAGTGTTGGCAGGATCACGTGGTCAAGTGTTGGCAGGATTACGTGGCCAAGTGTTGACAGCATCACGTGGCCAGGTGTTGGGAGGATCACGTGGTCAAGTGTTGGCAGGATCACGTGGCCAAGTGTTGGCAGGATCACGTGGTCAAGTGTTGTCAGGATCACGTGGTCAAGTGTTGGCAGGATCACGTGGTCAAGTGTTGGCAGAGTGTTTGGGGAGGATCACGTGGTCAAGTGTTGGCAGGATCACAAGTGTTGGCACAAAGGATCACGTGAACACGTGTCAAGTGTTGGCAGGATCACGTGAATTTGGGAGGATCACGTGGTCAAGTGTTGGGAGGATCACGTGGCCAAGTGTTGGGAGGATCACGTGGTCTGTGTCTGTCAACTCTTTATACACCTCGTATATGGGTGAACCTCTTAACAATTTCCTTCAGCGAATGTAAATCCTTCTGATGGACACTAACTTGGAAGTTTGACATGACCTCGTGGTGGTGACCTGACTTCCTCTTGACCTCCTGTCAGTGAACCATCCTCATATTGATGGCCAGGGTTGCCCCGAACTCACGTAAATACTTGTGATTGGTTAGTACCAGCTTTGGTGGTGTACTTGTCCTGTGATTGGTCGACGCAGCATACCTCATGTAACAAGTGGTTGTGGAAAGATTGTAGTGCGATGCTTACACTTATAATGTACTGAAAAGAGTAAAAAGTATCCAGAAATCATATTACCAAATGCAACATGCAGTGTACACCCCCCCCTCCCCACCCACACACACACACAGATAATACTATATGTACTCTTATACCTCTCACAACAATGGTTTACTGTTATTGTAGGCGATAAAACCTTAAATAATTACATAAAACTGATAACTCACGTTATCAAACATTATGTAGCGAGTGTACTTCTCTGTAAATATACATCTCTGTGTAAATATGTTCACTTGCATTACAGCCCAGTGACGAAGGTTCAGGACTTCCCGTGATGGTGTTCATCCACGGCGGTGGGTTCCTCGGAGGGGGCGCCGAGGAGTACCTGCCCTTTGCTCTCCTTAACCATAATGTTGTGGTGGTCGTCCTTCAGTACAGACTCAATGTATTGGGTAGGTGTTGTTTATGTGTACTTATGTATCATGGTTTGAGAAGGCAGTAATCTCTTTACTTTTATAATATAACCTTCTCTGGGACCTTTAAAGCTTTGCCAGCTTTCATCAGTTCCAGGTCGAAGATGTCTCATGTCTCAGACTCAGTGTATTGGGTAGGTGTTGTTTATGTGTACTTGTGTATCATGTTGATCCATATACTGTTTATTTTTGTATTTTATCAAACAAATAACTGGTTTGGGAAGGCAGTAATCTCTGTACTTTCATAATATAACCTTCTCTGAGACCTTTAGGGGCACTACCAGCTTTCATTAGTTTCAGGTCTGTTACAATGTATTTATCTCTCTATGTCACCATGAAGTACTGTAGGTCTTGTTGACTCGACAAGTGATGTGATCATTTGGACTTCACAACCACAGGTTTCCTGTCGACGGAGGACTCGGTGATCCCTGGCAACTTCGGGTTGAAGGACCAGACGCTGGCCCTCAAGTGGGTGCAGCGGAACATAAACAACTTTGGTGGAGACAAGACCAAGGTCACCATCTTCGGCCAGAGCGCTGGTGGAGCCTCTGTGCACTACCATTTACTGTCCCCGAAATCAGAAGGTGAGTGAATGGAAGGAGGCGGGTGATTGTAACATTTGTAGGTCATTACGAGACAAGAAGAAACAGGACACACAAACTATGGGACTCGTATTTTTGCCTATCCTAACCCTAGAACCTTGTTCCAGAAAGACGGAAAACACCAGTCTAAATTACCATATTAATTTAAATTTTCAAATGTCTGTTACAAACTTCCTTCGTAGATAAGTTCGTTACCATCCATGATGGTGGAGTCATGTGGACTACAATTGTGCCTCAGTCATGACAAACTTCAGACTTACCTAACCATTGGATCTGGTGGTCCCATGAGGATAAAGACCCTGTAGGCTTAGGGTTCATCAGGGCAGGCCAACTTAACTCATCACCAGCTTCGTGTAGACGCTGAACATTTAATAACTAAGTGTCTGAGGAACAAATAAGTTATGGTGTATACGTGGACGGTGTCTCTCAGAGAGTACAGGTAACCTGACAAGCTTCAGTGAGACCGAACGAGGAATGTGACTCATCAGTTATATGTCACTTAGGACGGAGAACTTCACATAGGTATCTGTTCATAGGACCAAACAATTGCAGTATAATATTTCCAGAGCTGTTCACCCGTGCAATCATGATGTCTGGGACGTCTCTGTCTCCTTTGGCTATGACCAGGACCCATGGAGAGCAGACACAGTACATCGCCTCCAAACTGGGTTGTTCCACACACCAAGGCAGTGAAGCTCTCCTCGTGTGTCTACAAGACGCTGATGCTCAAAGTCTATCAGCTCTTTCCCAAGATTTCTTAGTAAGTTACATATTCTTGCTTTTGTTAGGCCAATTCCTTTTTGTCTCCTAAAATATTTCACCAAAGACGATTTTTGTCATATGCTGAATATATCAGGATGTTTTAAACCGTTAGAGATTATAATTATAAAAAAGGTATTATGTGACAAGGATTCCCATTAAATGTTAACGCATCGTCGTCATCATACTACAGCCATTTTCCAAGCTTGTGATGACTTAACCGTGATCACTTGATGACAACTCTCAAGGCTGTATGGTCTCTTGCAGACTCTCTCATCAGGTTCTTGTCTTTGAAGTCATTTCTTAAAACCTTTCTCCGTGTCATTCTTGGCCTGCCCCTAGCTCTATTATGTACTATATTAATGCACAGGCCATCTCAGCTTACCTCTGTTCAAAACTTCACCATTACTCTCAATACACAGCCGGCCTCTTACCTATGAACGGGAGCTTCCTTTTTCTTGACGCCACATTTTACACTCATCTCATCACTCTCATTCGAGTTCGCACAAGCCATCTTATGTCATCTTCTTTAACTACTGGCATACAAAGTTACGCTTTTAATGCCAGCTACAAAATATCTCCATTTAAGCCAAGAGAAGATCCCCTCACCGTAAATAATGCCAACAACTAGCCTAGATTTATCCAGCCACTGCTGACTCTTGGAATTAAATCGCCCCAGTACCACCTCCAGCACTGATCATGTCACCCAGGTAACAGAACTCATCAACACGACCCAAGGATTATAAACAATATCGAACAAACCCCAATTCTGTGCCACAGAAATGGTTCGTATTGCCCATGACTTATGGGCCAAGAGTGGACGGGGACATCGTGCCGGAGGAACCAGGCCATTTGCTGAGGGAGGGACGCTTCAGTAAAAAGGATGTGATGGCCGGCGCCGTGCCCCAGGAAGGGGCAGGGTTCGTACATGGTTAGTTGCCACACATTGTCCACACTATTTGCTGGAATGCATCTGCTGCCTGATAAAAATTAAGATGGAGTAGAAACATCTCAGATTTTTTTAAAAAGGCCTAAATTGGATCGAAGATTGTAAAATTAAAATTAAACTTAATAAGAAAACCCAAAACATGTATGATAACTATAACCAAAAATAACTTAAAGATTATTTATAACCCGCTGATAGTCGAAATGGATTAAAGATATCAAATTCCCTTACAGTAGATCTGAATATATTAAAACTAACACAGCAGCTCAAGCTTTACCTTTCCCTTCCTGGAAGTATATTTCATAAATTCAATTGTTTAGAATTATGTCAGTACCGTGTAATACTGTACGTACCTTCTTAATAAGTAAGCCTTGTAATGGGACTGGAGGTTTCTTGCTTTCGACCTGTAACCATTGTGGGAGACAGAATCGTTTCCTCCCTGCAAGTCTTACCTAAAGTCCTTCATTTTTCCAGCTATGTTGACCCAGGACGGATTGTACGAAGACCTGCGAGACAACTTCAACGTCACGGCTCCTCACACCCTCCAGTGCACGGCTGACAATGGTGACCCCGTCAGCCTGGCCCGGAGGTTGTACCAGCATTATCTCGGCCAGCACCAGCAAGTTGACCCTATAGTCCATAGTGAAAACCTGGTCAAGGTGGGGAAATAAACATAGATATTCCTTCAGTAAAACCATCAAACATGTTCATATTAGTTAAGCATTTACAGTCACGAACAAAAGCCCTGTCGCCTTGTATGCCGCTTCAAGAACTCCCAGAATCAGACCCGTGAATTCGAAGAATTTACGGACAGAATAATACATCAGCGTCGACTGCTTCGGGTTCGCGAGTCTGAATCTATAGGGTTCGAGCAGCAGGGGGAGAGGTAACAGGACTTTTGTTTGCAATTGAACATATCACTGCAGATGCATAAGTGTTTGAAGTGGGGACAGAAGAACCCTATTGTTCCCTCCTGTTGAAAACTAGAAACATCCATGAAGGTTTCTCACCCAGGAAACAACATATAAATAGTAGTAAATAATATACCATGCGTCATTTGAGATACAAATACTACACTTTATGCAAAGTGTTTCAACCACCAAACTGATCTGCACAGATTATTTTCGGTTTGCCTGAAAAAAAACAGGAATGTGTATTATTGTAGTTGTGATACGATGTTAATTAGCATTTTCCATTGTACGTTAAACCAAGTTTTAGTTAGTTTATGTTGGAGTGTTATGAGCCTGGATGTGAGAGAAGGGTTGATATTGACAAAGTGTGAGTGGCAGCAACAAATGAGTGATATTGGACACTGACTCAAACAGTGAAAATGACCCAATAATAGCAAACATCTCAACGATAACAGAATCCTACTTACTTTTCTTCTCCTACAGATGTTCAGTGACCGTATGAATTTGATGGATATTGAAGAGACAGTATTGCATCACGCGAGGCACTCCAGCAGCACCAACACCTTCAGGTACATGATGACCCACCGCAGTCAGCTGTCCATGGCTGATTTCTTCCCTACAGACGTCGGCAGCCACTGTGAGTCCTACAAGAGGAGCAATCACCTCTGTCAGCCTTAATATATAGTAAAAAATATTTTTAGCAGGATTCAAACAAGTGAGAAACCTCAAATATTTAAATACCATATCCAGTCTACCTGGCTTTCAAAATCCACATTTTACACAGATTGGATAAGAGTTTTGAAGAATATCATTCCCCTTTGATTCTTGGAAAAAGCATTTTCTATTGATAGATAAAGACTGTCAAATTTGAACCATGAATTCCCTGAATTCATTCTTCTAAGCTTCATTGTTCCTCTTCCTCACAGGGGTGTCTCACGGCGACGACCTGTACTACTTGTTCCGAGGCGGCCCCTTCCTGCAGCCACCCCAGCAGTCTCCAAAGCGACTCCACGACCTACAGAGCAAGGATGACCTCGCCGTGAGGGACATCATCACCGCATTGTGGACTAACTTCGCCGCCACAGGGTAATCATAATGAAATAGTTTTACTGTAGTATGTTATTAGTGTTACTTCTTACATTAATCAGTTATCTCTTAGTTTTTATTAAGTTTGCAAAATTATTTATTGTCCTCTTTTGTGGCACAAAGAACCAGCACATACCTATGATGACGATAGAGAAGTGTTGGTAACTAAATTACATTAGTCTAAGACCCCATTATAGAAGAACCAGAAATAGTGAGATGAGGAGAACGTCCATCAGGAGAGAAGAGGGGATAAGAACCACTGTTGAACCTTCACAATGTTTTTGGTACATGTACGGTGGGTAATGTCTCACTCCTGCAGGAACCCGACACCTGACGCCTCTCTCGGATTCATCTGGGAGCCCTCCACTGAGGACAACCTTCATTACCTTGACCTCAAGCCCAAACCCACCATGGAGGCTGACCGACGTCAAGAGGTGAGTCCTCCCAGATGTCTTTGCTGCATTGTCATAAGTAAAGCTAAATTGATATACTTTTTAACTTAAACAACATTGAGTCCAGCTAATAGCTAACAGTTCTTTTTCTGCCCTTTTAATTAACCATTCATAACTGTATTACCTCACTAATATAACTAAGTAGTTTAAAGTTAAGCAGCCTCTGACGTATAAGTAATTAATGAGATACATTTCTCTCTCTTCACGTGTCCTGGTCACTCATGCTGTGCTGTTGCCTTCTCAGGTACGTAGATTCCACGCGTCACTACCCACCAAGGTGAACCTGGCCCTCCACCCTCACCTGGTGCAGGATGAAGACCCAGTACCTGCCGATAAGGTAACCGAGACAGCTGGCCACACACGCAACGCCCAGGACGAATTGTAAGCCGCCAGTAATTCGGGATTCTCAATAAATAATATCCACCCTTAACCTGGCTGATGCATTAGGTTATAATATACAGTTACCTTATAGTCTTTGTGCTGTTTTGACGCCATTGTGGACCAAATTATATTCATCAACTTCAATGAAGCCAGCCAGGTGATCCTTAAGGGGCACTCAGGTATGGTCAGAATCACCTGACGATGGAGAATCTCCAATATTTTCATGGGTAGCTTCTGTCAGGTCAGAGTATTGTTTAAGAGTTTCAACAGAACCTAAAGCAAAATTATACACAGCACTGTAATATCAGGTTACAATATTACTTCAACTGTTTACCATTCTTTGTATACTGTACCTACACTATCTAGGTACAGTTTGTACAATATACTGTACTTTCACTGTCTAGACACACTGTATACTGGCACTGTTTATACTGTACAGTATTCTGTACAATCTGAATCAATGTAACTTAGCCTTGTACATATCAAATAATAAAACATAGCTTAAACTATCATAAGGGATCCATTGTGGAAATATAGTCACCTCTAAAGCTTTTGAATAGTTTTATTAAATTTATTAAAGAGAAAATACATAAATATTTTTATTGATTTTTGTTTAATTTACGAGCTAACATAGATTTAATTTTGAAAGCATTTCGATCACAATTTAAAAAAAAATTGTTTGTACTGTATTATTATTGAGGGGGCAGGGAGGAGAGGTCACAACCCCCTCCTCACCCTTCCTCCCATTACTGTATTAATTTCCAGTCAATAATAAAACTTTATGAAAACAAATAAAATCCAGTGAAAATCTCTTAAAATAATCACCTAAAATCACCAGAGTAATTAATAACAAACACAGTGAATATTATTTTATCTAGAATGTCTTCGTCATATTTAGTGGTTCAGGTGATCTAATGGGCCCGTGTCTTACTAGACCCCTGTATAACTAGACCTCTTGAGAGTGGGGTCTATTAGCCATGGAAACCTATGTAATTAACCAGTCACCAGTTCCTTTGTCAGTGCAGGCGACTGTTGTATCACCAGTTTAAAGTCACCAGTTAAGAGCTGTAGTACCAGAATCCTGAAGGATAGTGAATGTGAAACCCATTTTAAAGAAAGGAGATAGGCGTAGAGTGAGAGGCCATATGATAAAGGTGTACAAATGGAAGTCCGGTTTAAACAAAGGTGATATAACACAGGTACTCAAACTATCCATCCAGGAGCGAACTCATAGCAATGGTTTTAAATAAGACAAATTTAGATTTAGGCGCGATATACTGTAGGTGAACACTGGTTTTGAAATAGAGTAGTGGACGAATGGAACAAGTTACCAAATATCATCATTAACTCGAATATGCTGGACAGCTTCAAACATAGAACAATAGGCCCGCAGCAGTTTCCTCCGCCCTTATGTTCTTCTGTTCTTACACTGGCTGTCAACACCTGTTGTTTCACCCTTATGGCTCGGTATCCAACCCTGAAGCTGGTGGTTCCTTCTTGACAGCCGGTTCATTCCACGGTATAGTTCCAGCTGTTTAAAGTAAAGAGACACACACACACGCGCGCACACACGCACACACCTACAGTTCATCCACGGTGTCTCGTCTGTAACCAGTTGTCGTTTCGGCTTCTTCCTCCTCCAGCAGGTCCTTCATGAGGTGAGGGTGGAGGGCGACGTTCACCTTGGAGGGCAACGAGGCGTAGAAGCTCCTCACCTGAAGACCCAATATGTAATTTATTTTATGTTAGATAGATAATGTGTATGTATGTGTGTGTGTGTGTGTGTGTGTGTGTCACACAGGGTGGTGTAATGCGTCTAGTGTGGCAGCATTAGGTTAGTGTTAAGGTACAAGCACTGTTTGCTTCCTCTCGTTTTCAGCTACCGCCGTTGGCTAGCCCTGGTGGCGAACAGGGAAGCAACTTGCATAAGTCCTCCCCTGCCAGTACATAGCCTCTTCACCATTAAAACTCCTGCTGTGCCTCCTCGTGGCAACACACGGTAACTGGGTGTCTCGTGGGACCAGGCTAGACCAGCAGGGGATCTAGGAGCAGCAGTAGGCCCAGAGGGACGGCGCATAGGCCCACTGGCATGTGGACACACCCTGGCGCCAACCAACCACTGCCTTGCTGATTAACATTGTTAGGTATAAGGCTACGGGATTAAACCCCGAACGAAAAATCTGCTGTGGAGCCCCGCATCAGGCAGACATGCTTACAGAGCTCCAACGAGACCCCAACGGCGGTATAGTCGGAAGAGGTGTCCACCATGGGAACCCAATGACTACACCGGCGGACGAAGCCAATGAATAATGGACAGGCTACTAAGGCGAAACCGAACAAACTGGGCTATCGGCAGTCCATTGCAACTCTCCCTCTCCCCAATCGTTGCAACATTAGCCCCACTGGATCACGAAAAGGGAGAGCCAAGATGTGTGGTTGCAGACTGCGCTCCCGCCTCACCACATACTCGTAAATCAACTCATACGCAGCAATCATCCAGCTCATCATAATTCTCATCTTCATTAAAACCTCAATACCCCCAAAAGTTCTATGGCGACAGACAAGTGGCGACGAGGACAGGCAGAGATGACTGCCGGGAGTCTCTAGTGACTAGTCACAACTCCACACATGGGCGGCATAGATAAGATGGTCGTTTATACACTGGGATCTAGGCAGCAGTGAAATCCGGTCCGTCCGTGCGACTCAGCAGCCCTTTCGAGGAGCCACTCTGCTAACTCCACATGGGAAGGTGGCTAGAAATGGTGCCCTAAACATAGCCTGCCTAAAGAACCAACCTGACTGGGCAACCACACCCAGTAAGGTCATCACAGATCAAAACAAAAACAAACTCTTCAACTCTTATGGTCGTTGCATGGAATGTCAGAACCCTTGTGGATACTGGTTTAAATGAGCATCCTGAAAGAAGAACCGCCCTTGTGGCAAAAGAACTGGCTAGGTATAACATTGACATAGCAGCCATTAATGAGTCCCGGTTCCCAGACGAGGGTTGACTCTCAGAACGGGGGTCTGGCTATACCTTCTTCTGGAATGGAAAGCCTGCTGCAGAGAGAAACAACATTTATGGAGTTGGCTTTGCCATCCGCCAATGCATTCTACATAGGCTAACTAAAATGCTTGTTGGGATCAACCAGCGCCTAATGACGCTCAGACTCTCATTGATTCCCTCGCGTCCTGTCTTCTTCATATGTGCATACGCCCCAACACTGGATGCAGAGGAAAACATCAAGGATTAGGCAAGTGTAATCCCAACAGCCTCCTCTTCCTTCTTCCTCAGCAAGTGTGCTGCACATAACCTCACTATCACCAATACCTTGTTTAGGCAAGCCGACAAGTTCATGGGTCAGTGGCAACCTCCCACGATTCAAACACTGGCACCTCATTGACTACGCCATTGTCAGAGAAAGAGATCGCCGAGATGTCCTCATCAACCACTGCAACACTGATCATCAGCTCGTCAGAGCTTTCCTTACTCGTGTCAGTGCCAATTTAGCCAGCGAGGTGGACGCCCAGTACCAGATAAAGGTCTTTCCAACATAAGACGACGGAAAGAAGCTACCCCTCCATCATTGGATGTAGCCCTCCACACGTGCAACATCTGTGGACGGCCTTGCCGATCCTTTATCAGCCCCTCAAGTCTCCTTAAAACTCACCAACGAAGGTGACATCCTTAATAACTCATATCATTATCTCATAGCTGAATGATTGTCTTACTCGATTCCAAGTGACAGCAAAGTAGTAGTAGTGTGCATGCAAGTGCGTGCATTTGTGCATGCAAGTGCATGCGAGTGCGTGCATGTGTGAATGTGTGTGTGCATGTATGTGTGCAAGCGAGTGCGTGCATGTGTGCATGCATGTGTGAATGAGAGTGCGTGCATGTGTGCCTGAATGTGTGAATACGTGCGTGTGCACAATAACAATAACAATATTAATAATAATAATAATAATAATATTATTATTAATATAATTAACGGTTTATTGAGAGAACATGGCAGCTATAAGGCTGAAACTACACATTAAACAGAGATAATAAAAGTTACATATTAGGGAGCAGGTAAAAGTTTTCAGTACAAAAAGTGAAGTAACTTGGAGTGAACATACAGATTAACTACACCTATGGACGTGGTCTCGGTGGTAGCAGGCCAGCCGGTCTAGTCAACTGTGTGGGGAGGTGATAGTGGTGCCTTCCTGCGGTACACACCTTCTGTACTGTAGGTGCAGTCCTGGTCTCAGACAGGTCACAATCTACATTTGTTTACACTCCCATCACATGGTGCTGGTAGCTCACAGGGTGTTGGACAGGGTTCTTGTTTCTCATCTGGTGGAGTTGGGAACCCTTGTTTCTCACCCGATGCCGTTCCATATATCTCACCTGGTGTAGCTGCGAGTCTTGGTATCACATTTTGTGTTAGTGTAGTGGTGGGTGGTAAGTGGTTAGGTCTGGTTGGTGCGTGACCACTGACCGCAGGGCATCGACTTGTCACAGTCTATCACGTTTTTCCATTTATTTTAAGTTATAACTTTTGCTTTTGTATATCAGTTATGGGTTGATCGTCAATCTTTGCGCTCTATTGCCGGTGGGAGGATGTAGATATATTCTGGTGGGGAGGAGATGGAGGAAGTGGGGGCTGACAAACCGGCCCTTGCAGCTGAGGCAGCTCGTGGTGTGTCTAACCACGGTCGCCTCAGCGGAGCAGCGCCTACTACGTTCTCACCCCATGATAACTGAAGACATGTGTGTATGTATGTGCATGCATGTGCGCACGTGCACTGAGTATGTGTTTTGAGAGATACCCCTGAATATCTTGTTCCTGTGTAACTTGCCCCACAGTGCCTTAACCCTTAAAGAAAATTAAGAACAGTCAAGATTTCAACATCGAGGAACACTCACCTCTTGACGCTGGTCCTCCTCCATGGTGGGCCTGGGCTTGAGGTCGAGGTAGTGGAGGTTGTCTGCGGTGGAAGGCTCCCAGATGAACCCAAGTGAATCATTAGGAGTCGGGTTCCTGCAGAAGGGAGAAAACTACTGAAAGATGTTGTTGTTGTTGTTGTTGTTGTTGTAACTTGTCTAATTTATAATGTAGTAGTCGGTCTATAGTGTGCACGGTCTATGGCATAAAGGCAAAATGACAAAGAAACTCACCCCTAGTTTCACTCTACCTGAGGATCGAACCCGGAACTATTCACTCGCGAGGTGAGTATGATGACCACGCACGCACGCACGCACGCACGCACGCACGCACGCACGCACGCACACACACACACACACACACACACACACACACACACACACACACACACACACACACACACACACACACACACACACACACACACACACATACATATATTTACCCTGTGGCGGCGAAGTTAGTCCACAATGTAGTGTAGATGTCCCTCAGAGCGAGGTCATCCTTGCTCTGTAGGTCGTGGAGTCGCTCAGGGGGCTGCTGGGATGACTGCAGGAGGGGGCCGCCCCGGAACAAGTAGTACAGGTCGTCGCCGTGACTAACCCCTGTGAAGAGGAGGAAGAATAACAATAGTATTTGTATCTGTTTATTTATCTACCTATCTATATGTCTATCCAACCATCTATCTTTATCTATCCAACCATCTATCTTTATCTATCCAACCATCTTTACCTATCTGTCCAACCATCTATCACTATTTGTCCAACTATCTATCACTATCTGTCCAACCATCTATCACTATCTATCCAACTATCTATCACTATCTATCCAACCATCTATCACTATTTGTCCAACTATCACTATTTGCCCAACCATCTATCACTATCTGTCCAACCATCTATCACTATTTGTCCAACCATCTATCACTATCTGTCCAACCATCTATCACTATTTGTCCAACCATCTATCACTATCTGTCCAACCATCTATCACTATCTGTCCAACCATCTATCACTATCTGTCCAACCATCTATCACTATCTATCCAACTATCTATCACTATCTGTCCACCATCTATCACTATCTACTGTCCAACCATCTATCACTATCTGTCCAACCATCTATCACTATCTGTCAGCCATCTCACACTATCTATCAACTATCTATCACTATCTGTCCAACCATCTATCACTATCTGTCCAACCATCTATCACTATCTGTCAACCATCTATCACTATCTGTCCAACCATCTATCACTATCTGTCCAGCCATCTATCACTATCTGTCCAACCATCTATCACTATCTGCCCAACCATCTATCACTATCTGTCCAACCATCTATCACTATCTGTCCAACCATCTATCACTATCTGTCCAACCATCTATCACTATCTGTCCAACCATCTATCACTATCTGTCCAACCATCTATCACTATCTGTCCAACCATCTATCACTATCTGTCCAACCATCTATCACTATCTATCCAACTATCTATCACTATCTGTCCAACCATCTATCATTATTTGTCCAACCATCTATCACTATCTGTCCAACCATCTATCACTATCTGTCCAACCATCTATCACTATTTGTCCAACTATCTATCACTATTTGTCCAACTATCTATCACTATTTGTCCAATTATCACTATTTGTCCAACCATCTATCACTATTTGTCCAACCATCTATCACTATCTGTCCAACCATCTATCACTATCTGTCCAACCATCTATCACTATCTGTCCAACCATCTATCACTATTTGTCCAACCATCTAACACTATTTGTCCAACCATCTATCACTATTTGTCCAACCATCTATCACTATTTGTCCAACCATCTATCACTATTTGTCCAACTATCTATCACTATTTGTCCAATTATCACTATTTGTCCAACCATCTATCACTATTTGTCCAACTATCTATCACTATTTGTCCAACCATCTATCACTATTTGTCCAACCATCTATCACTATTTGTCCAACCATCTATCACTATTTGTCCAACTATCTATCACTATTTGTCCAACTATCTATCACTATCTATCCAACCATCTATCACTATTTGTCCAACTATCACCATTTGCCCAACCATCTATCACTATCTGTCCAACCATCTATCACTATCTGTCCAACCATCTATCACTATCTATCCAACTATCTATCACTATCTGTCCAACCATCTATCACTATCTGTCCAACCATCTATCACTATCTGCCCAACCATCTATCACTATCTGTCCAACCATCTATCACTATCTATCCAACTATCTATCACTATCTATCCAACCATCTATCACTATTTGTCCAACTATCACTATTTGCCCAACCATCTATCACTATCTGTCCAACCATCTATCACTATCTGTCCAACCATCTATCACTATCTATCCAACTATCTATCACTATCTCCAACCATCTATCACTATCTGTCCAACCATCTATCACTATCTGTCCAACCATCTATCACTATCTATCCAACCATCTATCACTATTCTTGTCCAACCATCTATCACTATTTGTCCAACTATCTATCACTATTTGTCCAATTATCACATTTGTCCAACCATCTATCACTATTTGTCCAACCATCTATCACTATTTGTCCAACTATCTATCACTATTTGTCGAACTATCTATCACTATTTTCCAACCATCTATCACTATTTGTCCAACCTTCTATCACTATTTGTCCAATTATCACTATTTGTCCAACCATCATCACCATTGTCCAACCATCTATCACTATTGTCCAACTATCTATCACTATTTGTCCAACTATCTATCACTATCTGTCCAACCATCTATCACTATTTGTCCAACTATTTATCACTATTTGTCCAATTATCACTATTTGTCCAACCATCTATCACTATTTGTCCAACCATCTATCACTATTTGTCCAACCATCTATCACTATTTGTCCATCATCACTATTTGTTATCACTATTTGTCCAACCATCTATCACTATTTGTCCAACCATCTATCACTATTTGTCCAACTATCTATCACTATTTGTCCAACTATCTATCGCTTTTGTCTTCAGTCCTGTAAGAGTGGAGGAGCAATGGTTAACTCTCCTCCCCTTCTCTCCCTTCTTATCTCTCACTTCTTCTCACTCTCTCAACCTTCTCCTCACTGTCCCTCCCTCTTCTCTCTCCCCTTCCCTTCTTTTCACTCTCTCGTTTTTCTCCCTTCCTTCTTCTCCCCTTCCTTCCCTGCCTCTCTCTTTTCTTCTTTTTCTTCCTTCCTTCTCTCCTTCCTTCCCTGCCTCTCTCCCTTCCTTATCTTTCTCTTTCATTTTGTCAATTATATTACCGTCCCTCCTTCCTCTCTCTCTCTCTCTATTGCATTCTCAAACCCCATTCCCACGCATTCTTACCCCCCTTCCTCCTCCCGTTCTCATGCCATTAAACTTACATTTCGTGGCAGCATCGACGCCGAATAAGTCCCCGAGCGAGAGCTGAGCATGGTACGTCAACTCATACCTGTGGTCTTCTTAGGCCTGAGTCATGGCCTGGTACTGTGTCATCCAGTCGTGGCTCACCATAAAATGTCGATCACTCATCAACTATAATAACAATTAACAATGAAACAATGAGGCAATGAGTGATATTTTTTTCTTTTTTTATATACAGGGTGTGTAAGGGTAGTTGGGAGCTCTTGACACGTGTTATAAGTTGACGAATTAGTCGATGAGAGCCACGCACTTGAGATTGATTGATTGAAAAATGTGGTTGGGAGACACACTGGTGGAGGGACATGGTTGAGAGAGTGACACTGGTGGAGGGGACATGGTTGAGAGAGTGACACTGGTGGAGGGGACATGGTTGAGAGAGTGACACTGGTGGGGGGGACATGGTTGAGAGAGAGATACTGGTGGGGGGGACATGGTTGAGAGAGACACTAATGGAGGAACGTGGTTGAGAGAAAGAGGGACTGGTAGAGAGATGTGGTTGAGACAGAGACACTGAGGGAGAGAGGCGGTTGAGAGAGAGACAGAAGGACACTGGCTGGTAGTGGAGGAGGGTGATGAAACGGGAACATGACCGGACAAGAGGTATAAGCAATAGTCACCTGAATAAATTGTTCCTGTTTACGGGCGTCAAAACGAACATCTCCGAAGTAATGTTTGTAGATGACGTTGGCCACGGTGACGGGGTCAGCCTCATGCACCTCGTCAGCGAACTGTAGACTCGATGGTCCAAGCTCCTCAAAGTTTGTCTCCAGACCCTCGAGAAGGTGAGCTTGGTTGTATGCGGCTGATGGGAAAGGATTATAATCTAAGTCTTGGTAACGAAGAAGCACTGAGAAAAAATAACAATCTTAAAAATAAAATCGGAGATTCCTTAGAATAGTTGTTAATACTGAAACAGGAATAAGAATATACGAATGCCAAGAAATAATGAAGAAAATAAAACAGATGTGAAAAATAAAATGAAAGATAAAAAAAAAATTGCTGAAGTCTGGATAATGGAGGTCGGAACAAAGACCAGATCGACCACCGTGAACAGAGGGTAACTAACGCATAGCCAACAAGATGCCTTCGTGGGAAACGACTCCAGCCATCACATCAACTGGGTGGGCACGTCCCTCCTTCACCAGCCGACTTGGTTCATCTGGCAAGTAGTCACCATCGATGTAAGCCGCCAGATGCAAGGGCAGTAAGTGAAAGTTCTGCAAGTGGCAAAAGAGGGCATAGTGTTTCTTATGTAATATCAGACATCTCGCACATTTAATAAAAAAAATGGGTTTTTCATTGCCTGTGGCTCACGTCATTTTATGTAGAGGTAAAATAACAATTACTAACATACAAGGTCTTGCAAGCGACTTTTTCCTCCTCCTTACCGGCAAATCTTGTGAGACAGCCGACAGCTCCCGAGCGTCGAGGTTTTGAAGACACCGGAGGAGGACAAGGCTGCCGGAGTGAATGGGACAGTGTAGCTTCTTGCCCACCTTTTTGGACGTCTGGTCATGGACTCGGCTCACCGCCCAGGGACACAGGGCCGTCCCGGACATCAAGATGGCGCGAGAGAAAAGACCTGTTTGAGGAGATTTCACATATGTTCATGAACCACCTGTTGTATTCGCAGTCAAAACGTCAGGGTTTTGATTGTGAGAAGAAGAGTGATCCAGTTTTTCTTTATGAATTGTCAAAACAACCACACGAATTTGTTTTTTAAAAAAGCGAGATTCTTAAGTACTGAGCTGAGGCGGAGAAGGTGGCTGTGGGTCCTGCCTCTGATATAAGTGCTTATTGCATGTCTTCTCTCTCCCTGGCAAGAGATCCTCTCTCCCTCTCTATCACCCCTCTTTCCACCACCACCTTCTCTACCACCCCTATTTTCACCACCTCCCGCCTTCCTCTCACCTTTAGACTTGGGTGACAGCATGTGAAAGTGCACAGAGGCTCCACCAGCGCTCTCGCCGAAGATGGTGACCTTGGTCTTGTCTCCACCAAAGTTGTTTATGTTCCGTTGCACCCACTTGAGGGCCAGCGTCTGGTCCTTCAACCCGAAGTTGCCAGGAATTGCCGAGTCCTCCGTCGACAGGAAACCTGAGGTTGTGAAGACATGCTTATATGCCACAGGACGTTTTTGTGCATCTCTCATTATACAGATGCCAGCTTGTAACGGACAGTAAGCCACTAAGAACACACTATATGAAGAACATAAAACGGATCACTTGAAGATGAGCTCTCCAGCTTATTTCACCTGATGATTAAACACCCTAATGGTTCTTAGGAGGGGAGGGCAAGGTTAGGTTAGAATAGTGATAGTGTGTTTAATCATCAGGTGAAATAAACTAGGGGGTGTATAATCTTCAGTTGATTCTATAAAACACATTTGGCTGAGTACTATATTATTATTATATAATTTTGTAAAGGGACTTGCAGCAACTAAGGGCTGAGAACATCATAGTGACATAAACACATGGAGGCCTCACCCAGAATGCCCAGCCTGTACTGCACCACCACTAGCACCACGTCGTGGGTCATGAGGACGTGAGGAAGGTACTCCTGGGCGCTGCCGAAGACGAAACCACCACCATGCAGCCACACCATCACCGGCAGGTCGCTCCTCCCCCCGTCTACCCCAGCCTGTAAACCACAAACCACTTCCTTAACTCTCACAAACTTCGACCGATACGAAAATCAAATCCTATTGACATCATTTCCACTACCAAATATATTAGTAACAGATAATGACGTTAAAATTCAACACTTGGCCGCCGTCATCAATCAAAGTGTAAAAACAAATGACTCTGGTAACCCTTTCACCCCACCCTCCCTGTAAACACAAAGCCCTCGCCACCCACACCCTACAAACTCCTCGCCACACACACACACACACACACTTCGCCATCCTTACCGTGGGCGTGAAAACGTTGAGGTAGAGACAGTCCTCGTCACCCACGATAACCTCGGGGGGCACTTTGATACCACCCAGGGCGGCGTCGGAGGGCACCTGCAAACAAATCTCTGGCATCTTCGACCCATCCAACACGCCCTCCCAACTCTTCGTCGCCTCAGGATCCTGCAAGAAGAAACAGTAGGATGTGGTGGTTAATGCCAGCTAAAGATGTGGTGGTTAATCCCAGCTATGGATGTGGTGGTTAATGCCAACTAAAGATGTGGTGGTTAATCCCAGCTATGGATGTGGTGGTTAATGCCAGCTAAAGATGTGGTGGTTAATCCCAGCTATGGATGTGGTGGTTAATGCCAGCTAAAGATGTGGTGGTTAATCCCAGCTATGGATGTGGTGGTTAATGCCAGCTAAGGGTGGGGTGGTAAATGCCAGCTAAGGGTGTGGTGGTTAATCCCAGCTAAGTGTGTGGTGGTTAATGCCAGGTAGGGGTGTGGTGGTTAATGCCAGCTAAGGATGTGGTGGTTAGTGCCGGCTAAGGATGTGGTGGTCAATGCCAACGATCTACCCACCTATTACGTCTACTGATTATCTACCCAGTGTCCCTTTCCTCAACATTTGACGTTTTGCTCACTCACTGTCTCTCATTCTCCCACATTCTCCTCCTCCCACTCCCGCGCTCCCTCACTCACTTATTCATTCTCCCCCACTCCCTCACTATTCCGAATTATCACCCACCTCCTCTTCCTCCACCCCCCACTCCTCACTCTCACCCAATCCCCCCACGCCCTTAATCTCCCTCACTCTTCTTCATTCCCTCATTATCCCCCTCACTCTCTCACACTCTTCTTTCCACCCCCTCACACTCTCGTACTCCCCTCCACACTTTCACACTCTCCTCACATTCTCTCCCCACAACCTCACCCCATCACACTTTCTCACTCTCACGCCCTCAGTCACCTCACCCCTTCACTCTCCCCCACTAACCTGTAACCTCAAGTTTCCTAAAGGAGGTTTTGCAAAAGGTATCCCATAGTAGGAGTAGAAAGTTCGTCCCTTCGTCGACTCCTCCCTCAGGCCAGAGACAAGCCCCTCCTCAGTCGCTACCACAGGCGAATCTTCCTCTGCCTTCGCCGATGCCGCCGCCGCTGCCAATACCAACGCCGCCGCTGCTAGTGTCCTCATTTCTGCGTCGTTCTGGTCTTGTGTACGAAATGAAATTGAGAATAAAATGAATGAGGATAAGATATTGATGAATGCGTGTATATGTATAGAAAAAAGTAGATAGTTTGTTGGATTTCTCCAGTGGGAGGCACTGCTTGCTTCTTCTCGTTTTCAGTAACTGATCCTGGGTAACCCTCGTGGTGAACAAGGAAATAGCCTTGCGAAAGTCTTCCCTGCATCACGGCCCCAGGCCAATTCAGCAGGGGACCTTGGAGCAACAGTGGGCCCTAGAGGTACGGCGCATAGGCCCACCGGCATGTGGACACACACTGGCACTTACTACCCACTGTCCCGCTGCCTTGCAGATTAACCTTGATAGGTAAAAAGCAACGGGAGTAAACCCCGAACCAAAAATCTGTAGTGGAGACCCGCATCATGCAGACATGCTTAAAAAGCTGCAGTAAGACCCTAATGACGGAATAGGCAGAAGATGTGACCAACACGGGAACCCAACGACTACACAGACAGAAGAAGGCAATACAAAATGGACAGGATACTAAGGCGAAACCCAGCAAACTGGACTATCGAAAGGCCATTGCAACTCTCCCTCTCCCCAGTTATTGCAGGTAACTGCACCACTGAATTAGGGAATCCTGACTACCCAGCAGGTCCCTTAGCTGACCCACCTCAGCTATCCTCCATCCCTTGATGAGGTGGTTACTGCCATCAAGCAGATGAAAAATAGCAAAGCTACAGGGCCTGATGGAGTTTCAGCCGAGGTGTATAAAGCAGGAGGACCTCTGCTTATTAGATGTATACACTCACCTCCTGGAGAATATACGGGAGAAGGAGGAAATCCCCTAAGATCTAAGACACCTCAATCATCAATATTTATAAGAAAAAGATCGACCAGCCAAACTGTATCAACTACCGCGGGATCTCGTTGCTGTCCGATTTGGCAAGATTATCGCCCGAGTCCTTCTAAATAGACTTGTTCCCGAGTTGGAAAACTCCTCCCAGAATCTAAATGTGGCTTTTGACCATCCCATGGCATCACTGACATGGTCTTGGCTGTCCGCCAAATACAGGAAAATTGCAGAGAACAGCGTCGTGACATGAACGGCTGTGTCCTGCGCAATGGCACCTAGTCTGAGTTCTTCATCCAAACGGGGGTAAAACAAGGATGTGTACTGGCACCAACTCTCTTTTCCATTTTCCTGGCTGCCTTCCTTACTCGTGCCAGTGCCAATAATTTAGCCATCGAAGGTGGACATCCAGTACCAGATGAAGGGACTTTTCAACATAAGACGACTCTAGGCATGAAGAAAGGTGTCGATCACTTCCATCACTGAACTACCTGTATGCAGTCGACTTCAACCTCGTCGCTCACATTGAATGTGACCTACAAGAGATCCTGAACACTTACGCAGATGTGTATGCACCCTTCGGCTTTGCGATGAATGTATGGAAGACTCAGATTCTCTTCCAGCTTGCCTCTGATTCAACCACACCTCCAACATCGATCCAAGTTAATGATACTACCTTCTTTAATGTTACCCACTTCCGGTATCTTGACTCCCACCTGTCCACCATCGCAGAAACTGATGAAGAGATTCATCATTGGATCAGATGTGTATCTCAAGCCTTTGGCAGACTCCGTACCCGTATCTTCAGCTTTAGGGAGCTGATATTATCTACAAAGACGCACATAAATTGATCAGTGGTCCTCTCCACCCTGCTGTATGGCACCAAGACATGGGTCACACACAGGAGGCACATCAAGGTACTTCAAAACTTTCACCAACGTAGTTTACATTCAATCCTCCGAGTTCGCTGGGAAGACAAGATAATAAATGCCAGTATTCTAGCTGAAACCAACTGTAGGAGCACCGAGGCTACCTTTATCCATGAACAACTGTATTGGACTAGTCATGTTATCCGCATTGACGACAGCAGACTGCCAAAGTAGTTACTTTACGGTCACCCAACGAATGGTAAATGTATGCTGGCGGACGATGGAAAAGGTATAAGCATAGTCTCAAGACAAACCAAGAAAATGTGCGACATCGACTCCCTCACCTGATAAGACGAGCACTCCACACCGTAACGCTTGGCGGGGCACCACATGAGAAGATGTTAATACGTTTGAGTTAACCCGACTGCATACCTAGGCAGACATGCGCCAACGCCGGAAAAACGCTGCTGTTACCCTTCCCGCTTCAGATGTAGCCCTCTATATGTGCAACATCTGTGAACGGCCCTGCTGGTCCCTTATCGGCCTCTCGAGTCACCTCGGAGCTCACCAACGAAGGTGACATCTTTAATAACTCATATCATTGTATCAGAGCTGGATGATCGTCATGCTCGATTCCGAGTGACAGAAAAGTAGTATAGAGAGAGAGAGAGAGAGAGAGAGAGATATTCCGTAAACTAGTTATACAAGTTTACAATTGTTTATATATATATATATATATATATATATATATACAAGAATACATATATAAATGTGTGGGTAAATATATATAATAAAATAAACACACATACACAAACAGAGAGACACGAAGGTGAGGATGACTAACACACACACTGCTATACGACACCACAACAGCATCCAGCCCGTACTACCATGCACTGATCGCTATAAGAACAGCCCAAGTCCTAACCATTGTAAAAATTATCAACAGCCCATAGTCAACTAGTGTGTTCACTCCCAGCCAGTCTTACTTCTGCACCGTTACTATGTTGAAATGCCTTCTTCCAACCATGTTATTATATATCATATTTGTATAACTTATGTTGACATTATTTGCCATCTAGTGATACATTCTCCAATAATGTAACTATATTTTCAGCATGTGATAGATGATGATTTGTGTTACCATGCAGAAGTGGAAACGGGAGAGTGGTTGTGGTGGTGTGGGAGGGAGGTTGTGATGATGGTGGTGGGAAGGAGAGTGAGAGAGAAGGGGGAGCAGATGATGGTGGTGGGAAGGAGAGTGAGAGAGAAGGGGGAGCAGATGATGGTGGTGGGAAGGAGAGTGAGAGAGAAGGGGGAGCAGATGATGGTGGTGGGAAGGAGAGTGAGAGAGAAGGGGAGCAGATGATGGTGGTGGGAAGGAGGTGAGAGAGAGGGGAGCAGATGATGGTGGTGGGAAGGAGAGTGAGAGAGAAGGGGGAGCAGATGATGGTGGTGGGAAGGAGAGTGAGAGAGAAGGGGGAGCAGATGATGGTGGTGGGAAGGAGAGTGAGAGAGAAGGGGGAGCAGATGATGGTGGTGGGAAGGAGAGTGAGAGAGAAGGGGGAGCAGATGATAGTGTGGTGGGAAGGAGTGAGAGAGAAAGGGGGAGCAGTTGATGGTGGTGGGAAGGAGTGTGAGAGAGAAGGGAGCAGATGGTGGTGGAAAGAAATTAGAGAGAAGGAGCAGATGATGGTGTGGTGGGAAGGAGAGTGAGAGAGAAGGGGAAGCAGATGATGGTGGTGGAAGGAGAGTGAGAGAGAAGGGGGGAGCAGATGATGGTGGGTAGAAGGAGAGTGAGAGAGAAGAGAGGGGGGGGAGCAGATGATGGTGGTGGGGAAGGAGGAGTGAGAGAGAAGGGGAAGCAGATGATGGTGGTGGTGGGAAGGAGGTGAGAGAGAGGGGAGCCAGATGATGGTGGTGGGAAGGAGAGTGAGAGAGGGAGCAGATGATGGTGTGGTGGGAAGGAGGTGAGAGAGAAGGGGAGCAGATGATGGTGAGGTGGGAAGGAGAGTGAGAAGAGGAGCAGATGATGGTGGTGGGAAGGAGAGTGAGAAGGGAGCAGATGATGGTGGTGGGAAGGAGAGTGAGAGAGAAGAGGAGCAGATATGATGGTGGTGGGAAGGAGAGTGAGAGAGAGAGAGAGAGAGAGAGAGATGCATGAAGGTGGTGGTGCAGGAAAGGAAAGACAGAGGGAGAGATTGGTGGTTGAGTGGATGTAGGTGGGGTGGTGTTGGTTTGCTAGGCAGGGAGATGGTGGAGAGGAGGGTTGTTGTGGAAGGCAGAGAGAGAGAACTGAAACCTGAGACAGAAATTAAACCCACCAAAGGTTTACATCTCTCTCTTCTCTCTGACTTATGATAGCCATCCTTCCCCCTTCCCTCTACCCCCTCCCCACAGTGCTTGCAAACAATACCTCGTCACTCCCCTTCGTGTCCCTCCCCTCGACTAATAGCTAACTACTTCCATCCCACTTAACCCCTTACCCTCTCCCTCTCTTACCCTTCCTTCCCCCTCACCTTTTCACATTAGAACCAGTATCCAATATGATTAGGGCCTATTAAGACATCAGGGGCTCCGTTAAAACCCAGGGCGTCCCTTTAAGACTCAGAGGGCTCCATTAAAACCCAAGGTGTTTCATTAGGGCCTAAGACATAGAAGGCACCATAAGACTCAAGGAGCCCCATTAAGACCCAGGTGGGGCCATTATGCCCCGGAGGCGCCATTAAGACCAGGGGGCGCCAATTAACTCCAGGTGGCCCTATTAACACCCAGGGAGCTATTTTAAGAATAAAGGGGTCCCATTATGACCTCGGGGGCTCCATTAAGATCCGGGGGCACCATTAAGACTCAGGGAGCTCCATTAACTCTCGGGCCCCATTAAGAACCAAGGGACCCCATTAAGACCCAGGGGACCCATTAAGACCCAGGGGACCCCATTAAGACCCATGGGACCCCATTAAGATCCAGGAGTGCCATTAAGACCGTGAACCTATTAGGATTGGGACCCCTGTGACATGTAATCCTAACTAAGCACATTGTTTACCTGAAGGTTAGCAGACTCAAGCACGTTAAGGAGAGATAAGATTGATCCTTGGGCTGGCGTCCACACACAGCCTGCCCACGTAACGTCTAATGGGATCACCTGAAGATTAGCCCCCCTAGCTTATTTCACCTGAAGATTAGCCCTTAACGTATTTCACCTGATCATTAATCCCCCTTACGCTAACCTAAATTAGCCTAATACTAAACTAACCTAACCTAGTGCTAACCTAATGTAACGTAATCTAATAACTTACTCTA